TGGGAAAATTCTTCTTCTACCATTCCTTCCTCACCTTAAACGAAATTGGGTGAATTCATCTGATATTACTGACTTATATGTAGTCACGAGAACAATAATTAATTCGAAAAATATTATCTCATTAGATGAATGAGTGAATCTTAAACGAAATGTTACGATGGGATTAAATTAGATAGCCAAATACCTCTTTTCTGCTCCGGCCTAAATTCGTACCTGAACCTGAGTGCATTTAGTAGCAAGCATATAGATCTCGGCTAAATCAAGCCTGTCCATTTGACCCCGAGGATGAGACCCTCTTCCCATGCTGCCCGATCGCACAAGACTATCTTCTGGTCCTGGAAAGAATAGGCACCATATTGTCTCTGCAGTCGGAACTAATGGTACCGATGCTGATAATACAGAGGTTCCTGTTGCCGACATAGTCCGTGCCAGTGACAAGAGGCTGTTCACTTCTCCCAACTTAGGACTGTGTTTGCGATCGCTGCTGTTGGCCGCCAGGAATGTGCGCAAACATCCACATCCGCACAGACAACAACAACAACTGGGAGGACTTAGATGAACAGGAACTGCCGCGCCTCGAGGCGAAAGCAAAGGATGCGGCAGGATGCGACCAAACGCTGCTGATGTGTCACGAGCGTAAGCTCCTGGATGCAGGAGATGGGCACGCCAAGCCAGAGCAATGTCAAATGGTAATGCCTGATGCTCAAAACCAGGGCCGCAGTCGAAGATAGATGTGACTTCCTTCTGAAAAAGGGTTAAAATATTCAGGTTGAGGGAGCATCGATATCACGAAAGCTTGTAATTTGTCTTAATTTTTACGGACAGAAAAAGCATTTTTTGAGCTCTCTATTTCTAAGCAAAGTTTAAGAAAGTCCCAAGATAAGCTGAGGCTGTTTCAATATTTTCGACTTGCCTCATTTGTCACAGTAAAGCTTGCTTGAATAAATGAGAAACTCAGATTAATATGATTTATGAAGCTAAGGCCACAAATTAGGTCATCGCTGTATCAGGTAAGCAACTTTATTTATGTGCTAATTACTTGCAATATTTATATTGTTATAGTCACATAACTAACAGTACCTGTAAGATGTCTTCCATATCGTTCAAGTCGAAGCAGTACTTAAAAGTTTGCTCAAGTGGTGGAAAGCTAGCTTCTTCCTTTTCTGTTACATCTAATTTAAGCGAAACTGGCAATGGGTGTCTTAGGCTGCTGGTAGCTTGCGCAAAGCATTTAAAAGCGCACCGATGGCGGTGACGAGCGGCATATTCAAGCTGGCATCGGCGAACAAATAGAAATCGTTTGTACCGCTGGACAGTTTCTTCAAGAAAATTCACGTCCATATAATGGGGCAACGATACCTGCAAAATTATAAGAGTCAAAATCAGTAATGTTTAGAAAGCAACAATGGGAGGTCACGAAACAAGAATCTGGCTTAGGCCTATATGGCTGTATACGGTTAAAGAATTTTAAGGTATTGAACATATACCTATACAGCAAGTTATACTCTTGTATAACTGGAAAAAATATGAAAACAAAACATAAAATTATCATTTAACATCTTATACAGCTGAAAACCTTGTAAAAATCATCAATAATAATAAAATAAATATAAATATAATACGTTACCTAGTTAGATCACTATAAGATTAAATCTTGCAAAGATTATATTTTGCCAGAACTTTAAATTGTATAAATGAGTATTGACAGTCTTAATTTAGGAAATACAAATTTAAAATGGATATATAGGTGAATATATTCATATTGGGAAAAAATTTGCTGGGCTTAGCTATGAAATGCCTATCTTGGATAAAAGGAATGTATAGCCATGTCACTGCGAAATGGGACCTTTTATGCTGGACATATTCATAATTACATGTACTGATAAATACTTTCAGAATGTGTAATCAAGTTGATTATCTTTCAGCAGTTTAAAATCTGATAATTTATCGTTATGCTTAGGAACGGCAAGATACCGGAAGTTCTGAGCAAAGGATTAATTTATTAAATACCTCATAATTATTCTAATATCCTAATGCAAATACTAATACCATGTTGTTACTTAAAATTAATTTCCCTGTTATACTTTTTTCTAAACCTCGTTTGAAGATGTCTTCAAGCACATCTAAAAGGTTTACTTCTAAAAAGAAAAGGTTTTCAGCATTAAAATCCGGAAGAATTAAAGATTAATAACATAATAATAGTTTTCAATTAATCTAGCTTTGTCGTCTACTTTATTTCATTTTTCCTATTTTTAAGTTTATTTTGAGTAGTCATCATCTATTGTCATTTGCGAAGTATGGGGTAATTGATCAAGGAAGAAAACTTGGGATTGAATTATTAGCTATACAATCAAAATCTCTCCCTCACATTATAGCCCCCAGAGAATGTTTGTATTTTTCTGTATTACTAATGATTTATGTCGCTTAGAATTTATTACTTGACACTTTCTGCATACAAATTTCTTAGTCTTTGTCTCATGTCTCATTTACATTCTCATTCGTTTTAGTGGTGCATGGGAATTCATTAAGCATAAAAATATTTCCCTTTATTTCATCGATAAAATTTATATCACTGAATTGAATTAGTAAATCTGGAAAGTGTCAAGCTACCACGCAAATGGGAAAACTTATTTAGATTTATATACATTCTATGTTAAGCAATCAATCATTTAAATGTCATAATTCTAGTGAAA